ATAGGTAAATGTCTCTTCAATCCGAACAAAATTTCGGTAGACTTTCTCACAGCTCTACAGGTTAAAATTCTCCTTTATTGTTTTTCACAGATGCATTTCGGGAAAGTTTAATTTTCCTGCCCATCTTCAGTGCTTAAGATTTCCCACATGTTTCTTCATCTTTTTTACAGTACTTGTACTATCAATTTACAATGTTTTCAAATTTATATAGAAATATCATATTTCTAAGATTATACATTGTCGTGTAAAAGAAAATTTTATTGTATGTTGAACCTTTTTACAGTTTATACAACGTATACTACTCAGTTATTGTTGTGACACTTTTAAAGAAAAACATTTGTGTAGCATAATGGTATGGATTTCGATGTAAAACGCCCTTAAGAGAAAATTGGGAATTATAAATTTAAAAACATTGTAAATTGATAGTACAAGTACTGTAAAAGAGATGAAGAAACATGTGGGAAATCTTAAGCACTGAAGAGGGGCAGGAAAATTAAAATTGCCCGAAATGCATCTGTGAAAAACAATAAAGGAGAATTTTAACCTGTAGAGCTGTGAGAAAGTCTACCGAAATTTTGTTCGGATTGAAGAGACATTTACCTATATAATATTCGACTTCGTCGCTGTGTCTCCTCTAACGAACGTCGAGTGTCTNAAGTTCGTCGTGTAAAGTCACGCGTCGAAGTCCGTAGTTGATAGAGAGTCTGGCCCTTTTTAGAAGGGTCGGAGCTAGTGAATTCGTTGCTGAAAGTTATGCAAAGTTGTTCATCGATGGCCTTGGGGCAAATATAGTTATAGTAGAGTGGCTATTAAGTTGCGCGATCGTCGAAGTCCTTAAGGGACAGGATAATCTGTAACAGAAAAAACACAGATTAGTCGCGCATTAAGACTGGCGTAGAACTGCGCTTGAAAATCGGGAATTTTATAGTCTTTCTCCTCAATTTCCACATTATGATTGATCTTAGTTCTTTTGTCGTGCTTGCCGATTGGTCTCTTTCCTGTAACCCGAGAGAGGTTACGATCGCAAAGAAGGTCCGTTTAGGACGGTCTATCCGACACCAACCGTCGACTCTAACCGGGAGATGTTGATGAAACTTAGATACTTGCGCTCGTAATTTAGCCCGTTATTTCCGTCCTTTTGACATTTTAGAATTTTAACGATCTTGTGCGATATCTCTTTGACCGTCAATACTTCCCCTTTTCTTCTTTCCTAACCTACATCGATTATATATGAGCGTTCCATCTCTCGATTTGACATTTAACACGTGAAATAGTCATCCCTGGGCCCGTTGTTTACATGCGCGATTAGTTGTATTAATAAGTTCATTTTTTCTCTCTCTCACGTAACCTTTTGTTATATTTTAAACATAGAAAATTTCATAATTAACACGATTTCGGAACTGGTCTGAATCCTCACAATATACAAATACAGTACATACATATTTATTTGTATAATCGATAATTTTATTGGAGCACAAAAATGTATGACCATAAAAATCAGAAATTGATTATAGATTCTTGATATTAAAATATATATACATATATTTTATAATTTTCGGTCTGTAGTCATGTTTTCGCTCTGAGGGCAGTGGAAGGACCCTTTTTAATTTACCATCGAAGATCGATGGATGGTGAAAACGGTAGCCTATCGTTCTGAGAAACCGGAATCGAATCTGTTTGACAAACTCTTCAGTAATTTTTCAATCACGTTCTGGCCCAGAATTAAATCTGTCGTAGATAAGAAAATAATGGTTCAGATTAAATTTCCGGCATATTCATTAATAAATTAATATTAATATCTCATCATATAACATCTAATAATCATTAATATCTGCGTTAAATCGAGGTTTATTTAAAAAGACATGGATCATACATACGTATTGATACATAGTCCCATAAATCTGCAAACACATTATACATATGTTAAAATATTACTGTTACAAAGCCATATTTCACATAAAAAAAGTCATTAAACTTTATTTCATTAAAATATACTTTGGAATTTATTTTAGAATATTTTTCAAGTCATAGGAATTGCAAATTTCGCAGCATTTGTTCGTTTCAAATAAAATTTATTTAATCAAAATAGTTAAAAATTTCCCCAAATATTCCGTAATCTTCATGCATACATTTACGGAAGAATGCCCTATAATAGATAATTATTAAATGAAATTTTTTAACGAATATACATAGCATATTTATTTTCATGCAAGGATTAATATTATAAAATATACAGTAGACCCCCATAACACTGTTGATAATTCCGTGTTATATGAATTCCATTTTGTACGAGTCATTAGATTTTACAAGTACGTGTGCCTGGTTGTGAACGGCTCTGGTATTTGTAAAATATAAGTGACTCGTACTTTATGGAAATCATATAACACGGAATTATCAACAGTGTTATAGGTGGGTCTACTGTATAAGTATGTTAAAATACAATATCACACATACCATAAAAACATAATTATCGATTTGTTCCCGAGTTGGATAGTAAACTTCAACAATTTCTAAAAATCTACGAGTAGTTTCTAGTACTTCAATTAGATAATTTTGAAAGCGTAAACCTTTCATTTTATAGGGATCAATGAACCTATAATCACTCTTCAAGACGTCGTGACAATGTAAGGATTTAAGAATCATTTCCATCACTGTAACTCTGAAGAACATTAACTTTTCCATGCAATTTAAATAATTTATAATTATAAACCTGAATATTTAGGAAGAACAGAAATACAATAAAATTTACCCTAATTTCTTCAAATCTTGTTAGTTCTATTCCTTGCAACCCTCTTGAATAATATGATGCGAAATCACGCATTATTTTCGCTTCATA